GGGGCGCCCGGAGAGCCAGGCCGGCCACCTGCTGGCTCCAAGATCTCATTGGGCCAAACGTTTTCAAGGAAGGGCTGTGAGTTGTTCCGGGGACCCCGAGGAGGGTAAAGACGGAAATGAGTCCGTTGAAAACCTCAGTATTTACCTATCACCTGACATACGCCGTGTACAGTCTCATCTCTTTGGGTCCCCACAGATATCCTGAAGCAGGTACCGCTATGCCCCCATTTCAAGGACGGGCAAACGCACCCACGGGCACATCCTGAGCCCCCACCCAAGGCCCAGAGTCCTCTACTCTTCTTAGCCTGCAAGGTTTGTCTGTCCCCAACAGAAGGATGCCGAAGGCAGCTTCCCGGTGGCAGAGTCCTTCGCCTGTATGCTGGGTCAGGGCGTGGTGCTAAATGTTCCCTCCTCCCCGGTGGAGAGGGGCACAGCCTGAGGACCGGGAACTAGAGGGGTCACTTATTTACATTCGCTCTCAGGGGGTCCAATGTAGGCGAAAAACGAGACTTTGGAATTCTTACGGTAAGGGCAGGCGAAGGGAGGCGGAGTGGGCGGGGCTTGCTGACAGCTCCTCCCCCTCCCCTACTCGCCAGGGATCCGCGGCCCCCTCGCTGAGCCTCAGGGTCTCGGGGCTCACCTCTTAAAAGCCATTGCCTCCTGCGCCCCTACTGTGTGTTGGTGGCTGCCCAGCGCTTTCCTCCCGGGATCAGTGCTGATGGAACCCTTCCTGACCGCACTGAGCACGTGGCCCCCGCAGGCACTTGACAGGGTAGTGTCCCCTTAATCCTCTCACCACAGCCACCTCCCAAATCTGAGATGCAAAACTTGCCCTATTATTCGCTTCATATTTTTCTCTAAATCCGTCCACTCTACTTTTGATCTGGAATATATTTTAAATGAAACTTCACATTACTTTTACACTTGGAAATGCCAACCTTACCAGCCAAGGACCAATCAGTGACCACTAATATAAATAGCAAGTGCTCTTCTGTGATCCCAGAGGGTCTAGAACCCGCCTCCACAGTTCCTACTAGGGCATTTGTTTCCTATTTAGGGATTAGGATAGTGCCTTCCAGAGAGGATTAGGCACAGGGACGTCTGCAGAGGAGCCAAGATTCCCAGTCAGGTGCGGTGACCCTGCTGTGATCTTTCTACCCCATCTGCTTACATCTGGAGACTGGATCTTTGAGTCTCCGTGGGCTCTGGTTCCCAGGTCTAGGAGCCCGGTATGGAGCCTGGAGCCGACACTCCATAAATATTTGTTGAGTGAAGCATACAGATGATCAAATAAATGAAATTGGAGTGTTTTATTGCTTGAGTGGTGAAGGCTATTAGTCATCCACAGCAGCCTGCTGCGTGCAAGCCAGGCTGGAGACTCCTGGGAGAGAAAGGCACCTCCAACCAGCGGAACCCTGGAAACAGGGCACATGACTCACTTTCTAGTCAATTCATTGTTTCCCACTAGAATAATGACTGTTTACTTTCAAGTTATATTTCAAGTGAGGAGAGGGTCTGTATTACAGGCTGTCCAGTAAGGTGATCCTGTCTCCAGGGAAAGAGAAGTCATAGAAGCCAAGCAGTGGCTTCCAATATGTGAACAGAGAGCAACCTCTCTTTTCAAGTGACTAACACAAAAAACATGGTCGTTAAAATGCTCTCTCCCACATCTCCCTCATCCTGAGTTCATTATTCATTTCATTTGCCCAAGAATCAGCCTTCACTCACTGCACAGTTGTCAGGAATGAGTGTTTCTGAGGTGTGGAGTGTCTGAGACACTTCAACCTCTGACCCAGATGTCTTTCCACAGCTGGGAATTTTTTATTTCCCCCAAAGCTGGAAAAACATTTCCTTTTCAAACCATCTGTTGGCTGGGCGTGATGGCTCATGCCTGTAACTCCAGCACTTGGGAGGTGAAGGTGAGAGGATTGCCTGAGCCTATGGGTTTGAGACCAGCCTGGGCAACTTGGTGAGACCTCATCTCTACAATAAATAAAAAAATAAGCTGGGCGTGGTAGCACGTGCCTGTAGTTCCAGCTACTTGGATGGCTGAGGCGGGAGGATCACCTGAACCCAGCAGGTCGAGACTGCGGTGGCTGTGAGCATGCCACTGCACTTTAGCCTGGGCAACAGAATGAGACTCCAACTCAAAAATAAATAAATAACAAAACAAAACAAAACATCTGTTCTGCTTATAAAGACACTGTTCTCTAGGAAAGGTTGGGGGAACCTCTGCTATATTTGCAATGGACTTTAGTTTTGCCGTTGAGGTCATTATTTTTTTATTTTATTTTTTTTTTAAGTTGGAGTCTCACTCTGTCGCTCAGTTGTAGTGCAGTGGCATACTCACGGACACCGCAGCCTCGACCTCCTGGGCTGAGGTAATCCTTCTGCCTCAGCCTTCCAAGTAGCTGGAACTACAGGCTTGCACCACCATGCCCGGCTAAGTTTTGATTTATTGTAGAGATGAAGTCTCTGCCTTTGAGGTAATTCTAAAAAAAGTTACTCCCTACGAGGCAATTGGTGTAAAAAAGCAAGTCATGAACCGGCAGGGAATTATGCTAAGTGGAAAAAGCCGATTTTGAAAGATAACTGTATGACTTCTATACTAAACATAACATTTTTGAAAGAAAACAATTTTAAAAATAGAAGATTAGTGAGGCCAGGGATTGGGGGGGTGGTTATAAAAGGATCACCGGAGGGGTGAGGAGGTGTGGACGCATGGCCCTAGCAGGTGATGACATTGTGTGGAACCTAATACTCATAAACGAAGACAGTGACATCGAGGAACTTTGCATAAGATCTGTGATTGTATCAGTCAATATCCTGGTTGTGATATTATACTTTTTTTAAACAAAGTTTTGCAAAACGATAGCACTTGCGAAAACTGGGCACGTGACTCTACAATTATTTCAGAAAAAATAAAAAAGCAAAGAAAAGCAGACCAAGTGATGTCACACTCCGCACACCCAAGAGAGCGCAGCTACCCCACGCGACCATAGGTCGGTCCGCAGTGACCAGGCGCTCCCGGGCGGGGTGAGGGGAGCCCGGGGCCGGGGCCGGGGCCGGGGCGGGGCGCGGCGCATGGCGGAAGTGACGCCACGCGGGGCGGTACGGGGCGGGGCGCGCACCTGGACACCTGGGCGGCCGCGGCGGCGCCGGGCAGCTGCTAGACGCGCACGATGGAGGGCGACGGAGGGAGCCCGTGGGCCCTGGGG